ATTTATTTGTGGGTTCTTGATTCTGTTCCATTGATATGTGTGTCTGTTTTTGTGCCAATACCATGCTGTTTTGGTTACTATAGCTTTGTAGTATATTTTGAAATCAGGGAGTACAATACCTCCAGGTTTGTTCTTTTTTCTTGGTAATCCTTCAGCTATTTGGGGTCTGTTGTTGTTCCAAATAAATTTTAAGATTCTTTGTTCTATTTCTGTGAAAAGTGTTGTTGGAATTTTGATAGGAATTTCATTGAATCTATCGACTGATTTAGGAAGTATGGACATTTTGGCTGTATTAATTCTTCCAATCCAAGAGCACAGAATACCTTTCCATTTCTTTATGTCTTTAATTTCTTTCAACAACGTTTTACAGTTTTTGGTGTACAGATCGTTGACCTCTTTAGTTAAGTTTATTCCTAGATATTTCATTCTTTTTGTTGCAGTTGTAAATGGAATTGTGTTCTTAATTTCTCTTTATGCTACTTCATTGTTAGTGTATAGAAATGCAAGTGATTTTTGTATGTTGATTTTGTGTACTGCAACTTACTGTATTTATTATTTCTAAAAGTATTTTAGTGGATTCTTTAGAGTTTTCTATATATAAAATCATGTCATCTTCAAATAGTGACAGTTTCACTTCTTCTTTTTCAATTTTGATCCGTTTTATTTCTTTTTCTTACCCGATTGCTCTAGCTAGGACTTCCAATACTATGTTAAATAAGAGTGATGAAAGTGGCATCCTTGTCTGGGTCTTATTCTTAGAGGGATACCTTTCAGTTTTTCTCCATTGAGGATATTATCTGTTTGTTAGTCATATATGGCCTTTATTATATGGAGGCATTTTCATTCTATACTCATTTTAACTTAGAGTTTTTATAAAAAATGGATGCTTTATCTTGTCAAATGCTTTCTCTGCATCTATTGAGATGATCATGTGATTTTTCTTCTTTATTTTGTTAATGTGGTGTATCATGTTGATAGATTTGTGGATGTTGAACCATCCCTGCATCCCTGGACTAAATCCCACGTGATCATGATGTATGATCTTTTTAATGTATTGTTGTATTTGATTTGCTAGTATTTTGTTGAGGATGTTTGCATCAATGTTCATCAGTGATATTGTCTGTAAGTTTCTTTTTTTGTGTTGTCCTTGTCTGGTTTTGGTATCGGGATAATGTTGGTTTCGTAGAATGAGTTGGGAAGCTTTCCCTCCTCTTCAATTTTGTGGAAGAGTTTTAGAAGAATAGGTATTAAGTCTTCTTTGAATGTTTGGTAGAATTCACCAGGGAAACCACCTGGTCCAGGACTTTTATTTTTTCGGAGCTTTTTGATTGCTGTTTCGATCTCCTTACTGGTGATTGGTCTATTCAAATTCTCTACTTCTTCTTGATTCAGTTTTGGAAAGTTGTATGAGTCTAAGAATTTATCCATTTCTTCTATATTATCCAGTTTGTTGGTGTATAGTTTTTCACAGTATTGTCTTATAATCTTTTGTATTTCTGAGCTGTCCATTGTAATTTCTCCTCTTTCATTTCTGATTTTATTTATTTGAGCCTTCTCTCTTTTTTTCTTGGTGGGTCTAGCTAAAGGTCTGTCAATTTTATGTGCCTTTTCAAAGAACTAGCTCTTGGTTTCATTGATTTTTTTCTATTGTCATTTTAGTCTCTATTTCATTTATTTCTGCTCTGATTTTTATTATTTCCTTCCTTCTGCTGATTTTGGGCTTTGTTTTTCCATTTCCTTTAGGTGCCCTGTTAGATTGTTTATTTGGGATTTTACTTGTTTGTTGAAGCAGGCCTGAATTGCTGTAAACTTCCCTCTTAGAACCACTTTTGTTGTATCCCATAGATTTTGGGATGTCGCATTTTTATTTTGATTTGCCTCCAGGTATTTTTGGTTTCTCCTTTGATTTCTTCATTGACCCAATCGTTGTTCTGTAGCATTTTGTTTAATCTCCACACATTTGTGGCTTTTCTGATTTTCTTCCTGTAGTTGATTTCTACTTTCATACGTTTGTGGTCAGAAAAGATGCTTGGTGTTACTTTGATCTTCTTAAATTTATTGAGACTTGTTTTCTGGCCTACTATGTGATCAACCCTGGAGAATGTTCCATGTGCATTTGAAAACAATGTGTATTCTGTAGTTTTTGGATGGAATGTTCTATATATACCTACTAAGTCCGTCTGGTCTAAGGTGTCATTTAAAGCCAATGTTTTCTTATTGATCCTCCGTTTGGATGATCTATCCATTGGTGAAAGTAGAGTGCTAAACTCCCCTACTATTATTGTGTTACTGTCTATTTCCCCTTTTATGTCTGTTAATAATTGCTTTGTATATTTAGGTGCTCCTATATGGGGTGCATAAATATTTACAAGTGTTATATCCTCTTCTTCGATTTTTCCCTTTATCATTATGTAGGGCCCTGCCTTGTCTTTTGCTACAGTTTTTGTGTTAAAGTCTATTTTGTCTGATATAAGTATTGCTACCCTTACTTTCTTTTCTTTGCCATTTGCATGGAGCAATTTTTTTCACCCATCCAGTTTGTGAGTGTCTTTAGGTCTGAAATGTGTCTCATGTATCAACATATATACGGGTCTTGTTTGTTTATCCAGTTGGCCACCCTATGCCTTTTCATTGGAGCATTTATCCCACTAACATTTAAAGTAGCTATTGATAATTATGTACTTATTCCCATTTTGTTACCTTTTTTTCTGGGTGTTTTAGTAGTTCTTCTCTATTCCTTTCTTTTTCTCTTGCTCTTTTCTCTTGTGGTTTGATAGACTTCTTTCCTCTTACTTATTTGTTTATATATTATAGGTTTCTGGTTTGTGATTACCATGAGTTTCATATATAATAACGTACATCTATAGCTATCTGTGTTAAGTTGATGGTCTCTTTAGTTTAACCCCTTTCTAAAAGCTCTACTCTTTTACTCCTCTCCTCCCACATTTTAAGTTTTTGATACCATCTCTCATTTTGTGTGTGTCTGTCCATTACCCTTTTATCAGTGAAATAGGTAATTTTAGTACTTTTGTCTTTTAACCTTCATATTGTTATAGATGGTTGATCTGCTACCTTTACTGTATTTTTGCCTTTACCAGTGGTTTTATTGCCTTTTTTTTTTTTTTTGGATGATTTTATTATCCCTATTTGTGGTCTTCTCTTTCCCACTTAAATAAGTCCCTTCAGTATTTCTTGTAGAACTGGATTTTTGGTGATAAACTCCTGTAACTTTTGCTTGCCTGGGAAACTCTTTATTTCTCCTTCCGTTCTGAATCATAACCTTGCTGGATAGAGTCTTCTTGGCTGTAGTTTTTTTCCTTTCAGCACTTTAAATAAGTTGTGCCACTCTCTTCTAGCCTATAGGGTTTTGACTGAGAAGTCTGCTGATAGCCTTATGGGCTTTGCTTTGTATGTCAGTTGTTGCCTTTCTTTTCCAGCTTTTAGGATTCTCTCTTTATCTTTAATTTTGGACATTTTAATTATAATATGTGTTGGTGTGGGCCTCTTCGGGTCTATCTTTTTTGATGCTCTCTGTGCTTCCTGTATTTGTATGTCGGTTTCCTTTCTTAGGTTTGGAAAGTTTTCAGCTATTATCTCTTCAAATAGATTCTCTGCCCCTTTATCTCTCTCTTCTCCTTCTGGGACACCTTTAATATGAATGTTAGTGCACTTGACATTGCCCCAGACTTCCCTTAGAGTGTTCTCATTCTTTTAAATTCTTTTTCCTTTTATCTGTTCAGCTTGGTGACTTCCTCTACTCTTTCACCGAGCTCATTGATCCATTCTTCTGTATCACCTACTCTGGTATTGAGTCCCTCCACTGAAATTTTCATTTCCAGTATTATATTTTTCATTTCTGATTGGTTCTTTTTTATATTTTCCAATTCTTTGTTGACATTCTCACTGTGTTTATCCAGTCTTCTCCCAATATTTGTGAGTATCCTTATGAGTTTTTGTTTGAACTCTTTGTCAGGTAGATTGCTTGTCTGTTTCATTTAGTTCTTTTTCTGGGATTTTGTCCTGTTCCTTTGCTTGGAACCTATTCCTTTGCCTCCTTGTTTGCCTCTTTCTCTGTGCTTATATTTATGTAGTAGCAGAGTCAGCTATGTCTCCTGTTTCTTTAGAAGTGGCCTTATGTAAGAGATACCTTTTGAGGCCCAGCAGTGTGCTTCCCTCTTGTCACCAGTCCAAATGTTCCAGGAGTGACCTCTGTTTGGGCTATTTGTGTCCTTCTGCTGATGCAGCTCTTAGTGCAAGTACCCAGGGAGTGTAGGCTTTCCACCCCCTGGCTGGCTGTTTGTAAATTGGGTTTGGAGAGCCCCAGCACCATTGGCTATAAGGTCTAAAAGCACATTTTTGTTGCGGTTTTCCTGTTAAATGAGTAGGCACCCAGTGTAGCTGGTTGCTAGGCTCAGGGCTTACAGGTGCTGTAGGCCTCAGGCCTAAAAGGTTGTTGTCAGCTCTCTCAGGATTGCAGCTGAGTGGGGCTGGCCCCAGGCACAGGGGGCACCAATTGTTTCAGGCTTTGACAGGTGGGGCCGATCCCTTTTGTGGCTGTTTGTGAAGCACAGGTCTTCTGCCACTGAAAAGTCCCACCCCTCACAGGTCCACATACACCATCAACACAGTCCTGGTCCATGCACACTTCACAATCCCCTAGAACATAACTAGTCACCCACTGCAGAGGCCTCCACCTCTCCATTAATGCCCCCTTCAGTTCACCTGTCCTTCACACAGACATTGCCCCACAGAGGCAGACACACTTGTCTGCCTGTAGAGAATCTAGGCATTCAGTCTACGCAGGCTGAAAAGTTTCCCAAGAGCTTGCTGTTTGCAGGGCCAGTCCCTAGGGCAGGCTGCCTGCCCTGGCTGAATTGGATTAAGTCTGCACTCTAGTGGGTGTGGCAGACTCCTGGGCTAACAGGCCAGGGGAAGAACTCCAATGGCGTCTGTGTCGGCATGCCTGTACTAGGTCACAACAATGGCCAAAACCAATGTCTCAGTCTCCAGAGAGGTCTCATCTTTCACCAAGATGCACCCAGAGCCTATCAGGTGAGTCTCTTTTCACTAAAGGACTGTGCACTTTTATTTCTGATGATTTTAGGTTGCTATCTGAGACAGCTGAATTGGTGAAAGGGCCCTTTAAGAACTGGCTTTATTCCACTTATGTCTATAGCTTTCCTGGGGGTATTCCCCATTGCAGTCAGTAGCCAGTAAAGCCAGATAGTATGACACTTTTCTCAGTTGTGCTAAATCTGAAGGATGCTTATAGCAGTAACATGACCCCACCCAGGTCCCCACCTCTTCAGGGAGAGCTGTGTACTTTAGGGTTGCTTTCACCTTGCTGACTGTGAAGCTCCACCACACATGAAGGTGGCTTTTTTCTCTCCAGAAGGAATTTTTGCCTCTTCCACCTCAGTTAGGACTGTCCCTTGTTGTGGGGCTTCTTTTAATCCAGTTTTCAGTTCTCTCTCTGGGGTAATTTTTCCAAGAATAGTTGTAACCTGGTTGTGTTTGTGGGAAGAGTTGAGTTCAGAGTCCACCTATGCCGCCATCTTGACAAGATCTCTATATCTCAGTCTCTGTGGGGAAGTAAAAGCCCAAATTTGATAATTGCCAATTAGCAAACACAGATGGCAGTAATCGCATTGACCAGCCACAGTCCTCCAACATCCTCTAGCACTTTTCCACTAGCTCACCTCAGTGCTTAAAACCTCTCTTACGTTTTCTTTTAGGGGAGTTGAGTTCAATCCCTCTCTCCTAGTGCAATAGTTTTGAGTAAAGTCATCTTTGTCTGTTTAACTCCCTCTGGTACAATTTTTATTTGACAAACACCTCCTCTAGGTAATAAGCCATGATCTCAGAACTTGGATCTACTCACCTAGATAACTAAGCAAATAAAAATGAGTGTGATAAGTGCAATGTTCACATTTACAAACGTGCTATAAGAAACAGTTAATGTGGGGGTTTCCTGGAGTAGGAGGGGCTTTAAGGAAGTTACACAGATTAGAAGACAAAGCTGAACCATGAAGAAAATATTTTTACCTAGTATACATTATATGAAGGGAGTTCCAGGCAGACAAAACAGCATGAATGACAATATGGAGACATGCAGTTCATAGTATGTTTGGGGAATAAGAGGTAAGAGTTGCTGCAACACAGTGTAAACACATTGTGTGAACCAAAAAGTGAGAGTTGGAGTGGCTAGAAAGACTCATTGCATACAGGTTATGAAAATGATTGTAAGTAATCCTAAGTAGTTTGGACCCTAGGAATTGGGAAGTGAATAGAAGTAGTATATCAAGAAGTGATTAGATGTTTTTGAATATTCCTCTGCCAGCGGTGTAAAGGTTGATGTGCTTGTCAAGTGGATCTCCAGTGGGACATGGGTGGGAGAAAGCCCTGATTTGCAGAATTTACAGATTTCCCTGGTGTAAATAATCCCACTATGGCTGATTGAAAGCTGCCACTGGTTTAATAACCAGATTTCAGAAATCCTGAATATTTAACAGTTGTGTTCTCACAAGCCAGTACAGATTGCTCTAGAATACCACTGGTGGCAGAAGAAGAGAACAGGCTTTATGTAGGTGAAATATATGAGGATACAGACTCATAAAGCAGCTGTGGGTATGGATAGGTGAGGACCCCTTCAAAGGACATTACAGCAGTAAACCTAATAGTGTATATCAGAAGCATTATTCACATTATAAAACAACCTTTTCTTTAAGGGTCCTTTAAATTGTCACCTATTTAAAGGTCAAATAATGTGTGTTAGAGGTCGACTAATATGTCCATAGTCACCTACTTTGTCAGTGGCAGAGCTTGGATTTGAACTCAGTCTGCCGGATTCCAGCATCCCATACATAGGATTTGGAGCTCAACTCAGGTTCATCTGGAAAAGGAACCCAATACGGTTGCTCTCATAATAAAGTAAAATAATATATATCCAAATCACCTAGGACAACACCTGACACCTATAAACATTTATGAAATTACAGCTACATTATTAATAATTACCATTATCCTTGTTTTACCACGATCATCACATTTAGTTGAATTTGTTAGGAGAGTGATGGAACAATAAATCAGGAGGTGCACATACAGAAAGCAATTTTCTATGCTTAAAAAGTTTACAAGGTGGGGAGAGTAGTGTATTTAAAATACTGTGGATTATGAATTGTATTTCTTAATCTTTTTTCCTCCAAATATAAACTAAAGCTTATAAACAAATCAATGTGTCTTGGAATATAGGCTTCTTTTATATCATCACTGTGTGGGATAGGCTTGCCTGGTAATGATAAGCTCATCAAACATTCCTCCAGGTTAAAAGCTAAGATAATAGCCCTGTAAACAATTGAACATTATTCTTCCCATTGTCCTGCTAAAATCAGAAGTAAAATTAAGTTTTGAGTTATGCTGGTAATGATTCATTACTCAAGTAACTGAAAACTCTTTTGTTTCCCATAGAATAATTCACAAAGGAGAAAGACACCAATGTCCAGCCCAGCTTTGACCACTGGAGATTATATAACCTGTTGTCCATGTCACACACCATTGGGTTTTGGCATCAGTGCAAAGAATTAGCTGCATCTCCAGTGAGATAAACCTTTTAATCTATATAGAGAGCGAGAATATTTTGGGCCACAGCTTTATAGGCTCTGGTGCTTTGGACCTACAAATAAATCACTCACAAGATAGAAAATTTGGCAGAAAATTTTGGACTCTAAAATAGCCTGCAAACTATTTAATTTTAAAAATTCAATAATTGCTATCAAACACATATGATGAAGATGAACGGATCTCCTGCAGTTTTCACAGTTTGGCACAGCAGAGAATACCTGAAAGACAAGGTCACCAGAGCTGGGACTGCGTTTATGCTTTTGAATCTACGTCTTTCATAAAGAAAATATCTTCACTCAGAATTGAAACATACACTGATAAAGAAGAATCAACATCTAATAAAGTATTGCTTCTGACTCTGAACAATTCATAGAAATGCTTAATGAAAATCAATGCCAAAAAATGCATGTCACATTACTTACTGCAGGAAAATTGCTTCATTATATAATTACATTCTTTTTTACATTCAGTATTTTTATTTAATGTTTATTATTATTTGTCACCTTGTTTCAGCCTTGGCATACACATTCTCACTGTGAAAGCAACCAGTGAGTTATTTGTTGTTATTTTGTTCTGATCATAAATATACATACTACAGCTTTTATAATAAAAATTATAACTACGTTTTGCATGTGAGCATGAAAAGGATGCTTGCAACCAAAGTGTGATGTTTCAAGGAAAAGTTTATTTAAATTCTGGCATAGAGGACAAGTTGAATTTCTTTTCTAGGCAAAGTCTCATGTAGAAAACTCAAATATTTGCCCTATCTCTGTTGTGAATTTTAATTCTGTGTAAAAGGAAAGGGGATTCACATTATGAGAGTTATGTGAAGTAGAATTTTATATGGCGTCTGTTTGGAATCTTTTTTCCCTTAACTACCCCAAATTGAAATTTTGCTCCCAATCAATGGACGTGAGTTGCCAACTGTTCTCACACACACCGGTATGACTCCTCAATCCACCTTCTGAATCTCATGTGCACCCTTATGGAGTGGCTTGTGATAAAGAAGTGTTTTAAGTTATAGCATATTAATAGAAAATTTGAGGTACAGTAAGGCCAACAGATCAAGAAAATGACTGCCATTGAAAACAGTAACAAACTATTACAATTCCCAAGGGGAGGAGCCATGCCAAGCCACAGGGGGCCACACAGGGAAGCACTGAGGGTCAGGTCCTTCAGGAGGCAGAAGGAGGGAGAGGAAATCTGGGTGAGGGTCTTTATTGTGGTGTCCTCAGGAAGGAACAGGTAAGGCAGGGTAAGCAGATTTAGGGTTGGCTAGTTTGAATAATTTCAATGGCCTCTGGGGCAAAGGGACTCTCTCTAGTTATCCAGTACCTGGCCCTTAGGGTCATTAGGGCAGGTGTGTAGTGGCCTGGAGTGTGAGAGCCCAATTGGTTGGGGAAGTGAACTCTGGATTGGCTGGTTTGTTTTTGAAAAATAGGTCCCTAGGAGGAGCACTCCTGCAAAGAAGCGGGGTGGGGTGATGCGGAAGGCAGGGTCCAAGGCAAAGTGATTCAGGTGTATTATGGGGTTCTCTAGAATGAGGAATGTCTGGCATATGCATGTGAGGCAGATATTAAACTACCAAACTTACAGAAGCTCCAACACTGTTTAATACAAGAGAGATGACTTACCAAAATATAGCCGAAGCAGTTTAACATGTGTAGTGGGTGCTATTGGTGGTCCACTCCAATTCCCTTCACAGAGCTGTTGAACCCACGATACTGTGAGGAACTGCTGCTAAGGGCTCACAGCTTTCTCCTCTGGAGAACTGCCCTTAGCCAGTGGTTTTCAAACTTTAGTGTGTATCAGAATCACCTGGATAGCTTGTTAAGCCACAAATTGCTGGGCCCCGCCCCCAGAGTTTGTGATTCAGTAGGTCTGGGCTGAGGCCCAAGGAACAATCATTTTTAACGAATTCCCAGGTGATGCTGATCCTGCTGATCTGGGGACCGTGCGTTGAGAACAACTGTTCTAGACTGACACACGTCACCTCCCCCAGGGATTCCTGGGAGGTTTTACCCTCCAGAGTCAATGACTGACTGGTATGCAGTGTAAATGTCCCACCACCTTGTCTCAAATCAAGACAATTCTGGGGTGCTATCCATTCTCCAGAGATCCACACAAGATCAAGCTGTGGCTAGACTCTGACTGGTTCCAGATTTTTACCAAGGTTCTTCCCCTACCCGGTGCTACTCCCCTCACTTCCTTACAGATGTCTCCTTAGTAAACCACTTGGAGAATACACCTTACTCAGTTTTTGTTTAGGAAACCCAACCTAAGATAACATATTTTCACCAAAACTATGTTTTTTTATTACTGAAACTACATCTGAGAATTATTTTACCGTTTTGAAGTTTGTTTACCCTCAATATTCCTGTTGATCCTCAAACACAGCGACGGTTTTGAGAGTGGTCAGTAGTAGTCAAAATGCTCAGAAAGATAGGAAGTATAAATGATGAAACAAAATTAAAGATAATTGGGGCTGTTTATTTGGAGCATAGAGGGCAAAACAGAAGATCCGTTAGTTATCCTTGTCAAGAGCATCCAGTATCTACTTACTGGTGGCATTGTTCTTACAAGGCAAGTGTAGAAAGAAATGACTCTGCCTTCTGGCACTTTACACTGTCAGGTTTGTCTGAAAAGACATTTACATGTTTTGAGGGGATGAATTCATGCAGTGAGTATCATGGACAATATTTTGATATCTAAACGAACTCCCCACAGCTGACTTGTTTCAATTAATGAACTGTAATTACATTATATGTGTGAATGAATAAATGAATTAATGTACATTTAATAATCTAAATATGTCAGATACTGGGCTAGCCACTTTCTCATACATCATTTAGTTAATCCTCATGATTAAGTTTTCAGAAAACACAAGAAATTCTGTGTACTTTTTAAAAATAAAGTAAATAAACTTGAGAAAGAGTGCAAACCCATTTAGTATTGCTATTTTCCTATCACTAATATAATACTGTTAAGTGATTTTAATGAATCAATATATGATTGAAGAATAATTAATGTTATGCCTACCACTGATTTTGGCAAAACATTGCAGAATGTGAGACTACTTCGCCCTCACCCTATTGCAAGCTTTTGGACAGGACTTATCACATTTAGTTCTGACTCTGGAAGGAAAAACAGAAGTATTTTTGACTTGTACTTTCTTATCAGGGCCAGAAGATGTGATGGATGAGATGGAATAGCATGAAAAACTTTGAGTAGATGCTTCTTAAATTACTTTTGGGGACAATTGATGCAATGAATTTGTGCAATTCATGCATCAACCCAGGAACCTCTAAGGCTGTGATTTAAGAGTGATAGTTTGGTCTCATCTGACTTTTTATGATGCAACATGTTGTAGTCAAAAGAATCCAATATCATGTGTTTAAATTCTGGGATTTCTTATCTATTTTCTGTTTGATTTAAATCAAGTTATAATTGTTCTAGCTCTCAATTTCTTTATCTCTAAATTGGTGGTCATAATGCCCATCCTGATAGTATGGTTATGAAGATAAATAAAGTAATATATGTAAATTTCTATACACTATGGCCAAAATATCACAGGTTCACAATAAATATTAAGTTCTCCTGCTTTTAATTCTATCCATATCTCCTTTTTATCAAACATATCCTGTACTCCAGTCAAACCAAACCATAATCATCCATAACCAAATCGTGTGATATCTAGCCCTTATACCTCTTTACACCTCACGCTGGTCACCATATTTGTTTTTTTCTCTTTTTTTCCCCAGCCTTTATGAACTAGCTTCCCTGATTCTCTAAGGAAGTGTGCTTTATTCCTCCTATGAATATCCAAGGATACATCTCTCATGACATTTAGCCCATTTGCCATGTATTATTCTTACGCATACATTATTTCTTTGAAGTTATTGAGTGCAGTGTTTCATTCTACCTACAGTAGTTTCCCTTTATATGTCCTGGTTGAAATTATCACATGAAATAGCATGATAACTATACTAGTAGTTGTCTGCTTATTTTTCTGCCTCACACACTACCTCACAAGATCTTGGAAAGGACTATGTGTTTTCTCTATTTCTCTCTATATATTCTCTCTCTATTCTTCTCTGTATTCTATTTCTCTATATTCCATCTCAGTGATATACTCCCACTTTTGCAACAATATGAAATATTCCATTGTAGAGGTATATATATCCAAGTCCATGGTTTATTCTGCCAAATTCAGGGGAAGGCTTAATATATTTAATGACTTAATGACTAAAATCAGAGGCTAGTAATCTGAAAGAGGAGCATTTGATAGCAAACCTTCAGACAATGATGGAAGAGCTCTGATTGCTCTCTCTCTTCGCTATGAGACAGTTACAGCTTGCGAGGCCATAGGCTGTTAGATCCCCAGGGACCTGGAGTCTCCAAGAATTAACTTACAAGTTATAGTTGGGTGGACTTAAAAGCACCCACGAGGTCACTGAAGCTCCCAGGCTCTTTCCTCTTAGCTGGTGACCTTCCTTTCTTCCTCCTAAATTTCCTCAATCTCTATAGCTGTCCTTGCTAACTTTTGCTTAGTGAATCTGACTCTACTTCCTAGTGTTTCTCACCGTGACTTGTTATCCTCTCTTGGATCTCTTGATTGCTTTATGTTTTACTCCAGAGCAAGGTCTCTGTGGTTTTGACCCCATTTTGATACTTAATGTCAGACTGTTTTCTCTTCATCTTTTTTAGTACTGACCATAGCCTGACTGCTCAATTCTTCTTAGTATTACAGCCAAAAGTGATTTTTTTCCTACGAAAATGACCCCATAAAAATATGGATGTATAAAGTTTCCCTTTCTTTTCCCAGCCATAACAGAACTTGTGCTGACTTATTCAGATCCTTGTCATCATTTTGCCGCTTCAGGTTATTTATCGTGTGTGCAATGTTAGAGAAGTCATGTGTACTTTTCCATAGATATCTTAAGGAACAGGGACTCCAGGGGCCTCCCCAGGTCCTCACAGCCTATAACTTTTAAAAAAGCAATTCACAAGCAAAATATGAATCTGAATCTGGCACGTAGAGCCACAAATAAACAGCTGGATAAAAATTTTGAAAACATGCAAACTATGATTGTGTGTTTTGGGAATCACCCATAAGAAGGGCATAGGAAATGTTGTCTCCAGCAAGCAGAGTTTCCAAAACTGGAATCATGGCATCTCTAATAACAGAAGTAAATGGGCAACATGTGTGGACAGGTAATAGAACATACCTCTTGGCAGAAATGAGATCTGAAAGCAGAAAGCATGCTTTATTTGAGTAATATGAAACATATAAAAATTTTTGATACAGACGCAGACTCCAAAAGACTACACATTGCACTGCTGGAGAATGTGCTGCAAACAAATTTTGACCAGGGTAAGTGGAGAGTTAAGGGATGTAACCAGAGGTTTAAAGCAAAAGAAAATCAATCCACTCATAGAAAATAACCCATTCAATATGTTGGTGGGTTATGTTCCTACGAGCATATGAACCAAGACCAAGGCCGTGTCCATGGAAAAAACATCAGGGATGAAAAGAGGGAAAGAGCAGAAGAAGGAGATGTTACTGCCATGCTCAATCGTAAATTGCATAACCTTTCCATAAAACAAATATGGGCATGCAAGGAAAACATCACCAAATAAAACAA